GTACACCTAAGGTGGCGGGTTCGAATCCCCAGCCCGGACCCGCCAAACAACAATGACGGCTGCAACCAAAAAATAGCTGGGCGTTGTGGCGGGCTCCTGTGGTCCCAGCTGCTTGGGAGGCAGAGGCAGGAGACTCACTTGAGCCCAGGAGTTGGAGGTGGCTGTGAGCTGTAATGCCATGGCACTCTACCCAGGGGGACAGCTTGAGGCTCTGTCTCAAAAAAAAAAAAAAAAAAAAAAAGATACATATCTATAAATATCTCTATATACAGTGAACTTTATGTTAAGTTAAATATGCGTTGTTACTGAATTGTCCAGATTTATTCCTTTACCACATAGATCATTCTCAACTCTATCCTTTGCTGGTTTGTAAATTTTCATTCAAAGTGTGAGAAACCTTGATTAGGAGATTTTTATTACTTTGACTTACTAAGCTCCTTAAGGGGAGTTTTGTGTGTGTGTGTGTGTATCGATGCAACCCCAATACATGGAATAGTACTTGCACATAGTAGGCACTCAATAAATATTTGATAAGTAAATGAATTAATGATTGAAGCCCCAGTTAAGCAGTTTTCACCAAAATATGCAGTTTCTACTAGATCCCAAATGATCAGAAATGGGATCAGTTTTTGTCAGTTACATGTTGGTTACATACTGCAAATTAAGTTTTAGGAACCCACCCAACTGTCAGCCTCAAGCAGAAAACAATGATTTTGTTCTTTACACCTAATGCATACAAAACTGCTATGCATGCATTTTGTCAGCCTGAAGCAGAAAATAATGATTTTGTCCTTTACACCTAATGTATACAAAACTGCTATGCATAAAGCCCATAAGGATTTCTTGAGCATCACCTACTGTATGCCAAGCACTTAGCTAGATGCTAGAGATGAGAAGATAGTTAAGATTCTGCCTTCATGGAGCTTACCTAGTGAGAGAAACAGAAAATAAGCAAGTAATCAAATAAATAACAGAGTTTGAAAAGTATCCTGAAGGAAAAAAATAGATTGCCATAATTGGGAAAACAAGAAAGGACTTAGTTTAACAGAGAGGTCAGAGCAGGCCTTTCTGAGGAAATGGGTTGTGCTGAGGAGTTATACTGGGTGGGTGAGGGGACAGAGAGAACAATATTGTAGTTATCCTCAGGTGATAAAGAGCTTGTCTGGTTTTGAGTAACTCAAAGCCAGCGTAAGGTAGAGTGGAGATAGAGTGACACAACATAAAATTAGGTGGGCAGAAAATCTTGCACAAATTTTATGTGCCATTAAAACTTGGGTTAATGGCACATAACCCAACTTTGGGACAATGTCACTTAATTCAGCTGTGTAACTCACCATTCTGTAATCATTCTGATCAAAGCTTTATCTGTATGTTGATTATATTGAGTCAGCATCTAGTGGGGCGTGGTTTTCAGAAGCTTTGTCTTTCATTGACTTTGCAGCGCCCTTGTCAAAAAGGGGTTGAGGACTATCTTAAAGCAATTGGCTATAGCAGTGGCATTTAGAGAGCTAAGGCTGTTAGGTTATATACATAACAATGGAACCTATCACTTGATTCTCTAAATTTGTACTATTCATTGCTACTACTTTTGTTTTTATTATTTGATTTTATTTTTTGAGACAGAGTCTTACTTTAGTATCACCCTTGGTAGAGTGCATGGCATCACAGTTCACAGCAACCTCAAATTCCTGGGCTTAAGCAATTCTCTTGCCTCAGCCTCCAAGTAGCTGGGACTACAGGTGCCCACCACAATGCCTGGCTATTTTTTGGTTAGGTGTCATTGTTGTTTGGCAGGTCCAGGCTGGGTTTGAACCTGCCAGCCCCTGTGTATGTGGCTGACACCCTAGCCTTTGTGCTACAGGTGCTGAGCCTACTTTTATTTTTAAACCTCAAATTGAATATTGTTTTTGTTGAAACCAATATATGTACATATATATATGCAGAATGATCACTATATATATATATATTTTTTTTTTTGAAGTACCAGGCTTTTTAGTCATAGCTGTGTGGGAATAAGGCATACAGTAAGTGGTTGTGTGCATTTTTAGGTGAATTTAGCTTGTATTTGATAATGGTTATAAGAGCCTAAAAAGTATTATTTATTTAATTATTGGCTAACTTCCCTCACTAAACTTCAGACTCCGTAAGAGCAGGGGCTTTGTTTTTCTTACTGTTTTGTCCTTCAGGGGCTGAAATAGTTTCTAGGCACATGGTATACCCTGATATGCTTACTAGTTTGCTGAATAAATGATTGACATGTGGTAAAAATGATTTGGTTGAGTTACAGAAAGAAGTATTATTGAGTTCTATGAACTTTCCAGGTCAGCAAGCCAAGCTCTTCTAGAAAAAAGCTACTATTGCTGAGAGAAATTTATGATTTTTAGTATGGTACTTGTTTAAAACTCAGATAATTATCAGCTAGCTAGTCAAGTCATTAAACTTCCTAGCAGGGATATAATAGAATATATGGCCAATTATTTATAACACCTACCTTTTTTACCTCCAGCCCAATTTACTGAGGAATCTGAAAATGGTTAATTTCTAAAACCAGGCAGGCATGGTAGCTCACATCTGTCCTAAGCACTCTGGAAGGGTGAGGCTGGAGGATTGATCGAGCCCAGGGGTTTGAGACTCAGCCTGGGCAAGAGTGAGACCCCATCTCTACCAAAAATAGAGAAAATTAGCTTGGCATGGAGGCATGTGCCTATACTTTCAGCTACTTGGGAGACTGAGACAGGAGGATTACTTGAGCCCAGGAGTTTGAGGTTGCAGTGAGCTGTGATGACACCACTGCATTCTACCTGGGGCAAAAGAGAGAGACTGTCTCAATTTTTTTTTTT